GTAGCTGGAATTACAGGCATGCACCACCACGCCCAGCTAATTTTCGTATTTTTAGTAGAGATGGAGTTTCACCTTTTTGGCCAGGCTGGTCTCGAACTCCTGGCCTCAGATGATCCACCTGCTTCAGCCTCCCAAAGTGCTGGATTACAGGCATGAGCCACCGTGCCTGGCCACCCACTTTTGTACGTGTGTAAATGGCAAAAGATCACCAGATTTAGGCGGAAAGCCTTTTATACAAAACAGAACTTTGAAGAAACAGATTATGCAACAGAGGAAAACTTTAAAACACTAATTGTAATGTACTCCGGGAAATAAAATATTGCAGCATGGAAGAATTCAAAAATACCATAATTAAGATATAGCCAGAAAACAAATGAGAGCTCTTAGAAATTAAATTTATAATAGAAGAAATGAAAAGTTCAATGCAATGTTTGACAGATAAGCTCATGAAAATCTTCCAGAAAGTAGAATCAAACAAAATAAAATGAAAAATGAAGCCTGAGCTTGGTGGCTCACGCCTGTAATCCCTGCACTTTGGGAGGCCGAGGTGGGTGGATCACCAGAGGTCAGGAGTTCGAGACCAGCCTGACAAACATGGAGAAGCTCTGTGTCTACTAAAAATAACAAAATTAGCCGGGCATGGTGGCACATGCTTGTAATCCCAGCTACTCGGGAGGCTGAGGCAGGAGAATCACTTGAACCCAGGAGGCGGAGGTTGTGGTGAGCCGAGATAGTGCCATTGCACTCCAGCCTGGGCAACAAGAGTAAAAAAACTCCGTCTCTCTCTCTCTCTCTCTCTCTTTCTCTCTCTCTCACACACACACACACACACACACACACACACACACACACAGAGGCTGGGCGCAGTGGCTCATGCCTGTAATCCCAGCACTTTGGGAGGCCGAGGCGGGCAGATCACGAGGTCAGGAGATCGAGACCATCTGGCTAATACAGTGAAACCCCATCTCTACTAAAAATACAAAAAAAAAAAAAAAAAAATTAGCTGGGCGTGGTGACAGGTGCCTGTAGTCCCAGCTACTCGGGAGGCTGAGGCAGAAGAATGGTATGAACCCAGGAGGCGGAGCTTGCAATGAGCCGAGATCATGCCACTGCACTCCAGCCTGGGCAACAGAGCGAGACTCCGTCTCAAAAAAAAGAAAAGAAAAAAGAAAAATGGAAAAATAATCTGAGAAAATTAGAGAAACAGTCCATGAGGTCTAGTATCTGAAAAATAGGGTGTCCGAAAGGCAAAAAAAAAAAAAATGGAGAGAAAGTCTTCAAAGGAATAGTTAATAGAAGAAATCATTTCCCAGTCTTAAAGGTCATGAGTTTCTTTGCTGGATTGCAACGTTACAACACGTGTTCCACACAAAAGATGACAATGAAACATGCCCAGATATATCACTGTAAAATTAAGAAAAATGAGAAGGTGGGGCACAGAGAGGAACATCCTGAAGACTTCAAGTGAGTAAAAAACAAGTTACACACAAAAGGTTAACAAATCAAAAGGGCACTAAGTGTCTGGAGATTGGGAATAAGCACAGGGTTCACCACACAAAGTACCCCAGCTGTAAGATCTGAACCTCACTAATTCCCCTTTCTGCACAACCTCCACTTCTGTTTTTCACCTTCTTTGTAATATTTTAATTCATTAATCTCGTCTTGAACTTACTTGCCTTTAGCTTTTCTTTATTCCTGCCCAGAAAAGCACATCCAGAGATTCAAAGGCAACAATAAAAAACAGGACTTAAGAGTGTGGGCTCTGCATTATCCAAAGCGAACTTGTCACAGAACAAACCTCAAAATTAGGGTTCAGCCTGAGTGGCCATGTAGGTTCTCAGCTTCATGCAGGAAGGAATTCAAGAGCAATCTGACAGAATAAAGTGAAAGCAAGTTTGTTAAGAAAGTAAAGGAATAAAGAGTGGCTATTTCATAGGCAGAGCAATGGTATGGGCTGCTAGACTGAGTATATTTATGGTTATTCCTTGATCATATGCTAAACAAGGGATGGATTATTCATGAGTTTTCCAGGAAAATGGTGGAGAGTTCCTGGAACAGAGTGTCCTCCCTTGTTAGACCATATAGGGTAACTTCTCTAAGTGGGCATGGCATGGGCAAACTGTCATGGTGCTGGTGGGAGCATCTTTTAGCATGCTAATACATTATAATTAGCATATAATGAACAGTGAGGATGACCAGAGGTCGCTTTGGTCACCATCTTGGTTTTAGCAGGTTTCAGGCCTCTTCTTTACCTATCCTGTTTTATCAGCCAGGTCTTTATGACCTTATCCTGTGAAATCGGTCCTGTCAACCTCCTATCTCAAACTAACACAGGAAAGAAAATAAAATACTGTGTGTTCTCACTTATAAGTTAGAGCTAAACATTGGGTACAGATGGACACAAAGAAGGGAACAATAGATACTGGGTGCTACTCGAGGATGAAGGGTGAAAGGAGAGTACAGATCAAAAAACTACCTATTGGGTACTATGCTTATCACATGGGTAAGGAAATAATCTGTACCCCAAGCCCCCAAGACACTCAGTTTACCTAATATAACAAACCTGCACATGTACTTCTGAACCTAAATTAAAGTTTAAAACAACAACAACAAACTGAAGAAAAGTATGGGCTCTGGTGTCAAATTAACAGGGTTAGAACCATGAATTAAGTGTGACCTTAGAGAGTCACTTATACTTTCGAAGCCTTGGTTATTTCATGTAAATTAAATGTGATGATAACAGTCCCAATTTAGGATCAAATGAGATATTGCAATACCGGACACATTAAAAGTGTCTCCATGGGACTAGCCCAAACTGGGCCTACTCTGTTGATAACAAAATATCGTGTTACCTTTTAGATATAACAGAGCCAAAAACTGCAAGTCATGTAGCCCAGGCGTGTACAATAGAAAAAGCTTGGACCTCTAACAACACCCAAAACCAATGAATCCTTTCCTTGGAACCAAGAAGACCAGGACATGACTGGAACCTGAACTTGGAACTCTTTCAAAAGTGATGGGTCCATTTGACTGGAAGATCGGGCCTAAAATCGGCCTCTACATACCTTTTTCTAAATGGTCAAATTTAAATCCTCCAATCAGCCTGCCAGGACACATTCGTAAATCCTTTCCCTTGGCTTTCCAAGCCCATGAGTTTACGCCAGACGCCAAATCAGGGAGACAGATTTGAATGCACTCCTATATCCTTGCTGAACAGTTGTGCAAATAAAGCCTTTTTTTCCTCAAAAGCTTGTGCCACATAGTATTAGCTTCTGTGCGCACATTGGATACAGAGCTCATTTGCTTGATAACAAAAACAAGCTATTAATACCTATTATTTCTATTATTATTCACCCCCCAGCGCCCCACCATGTTAAATATTCCTATAACTTTCATTTCTACTTTAAAATTTTATTTACCCAATAAGTTTTCGCTTAGAAGCTATCTGCCACAGGTATCTTCCTTTAATATTACAACCATCTACCCAGCCACCCAAATCAGAAACCTGTAAGTTATCCTTGATTCTGTTTCTTTACTTCCTATGTCCAAATCATAAAATTCTCATAATTCTTCTTCCTGAATAGCTCCTTTATTCATCCTCTCCTGCCTCTCCTTTCCTCCATGGCTCCAATTTAGACTCTAGATTTCTACCTTAACCTCGCAAGTGGTCTCTAACTGTAAAAGTTTCCATATATTTGTCCAGGATTTTTTTTTTTTGATACAGGGTCTCTGACATCCAGGCTGGAGTGCAGTGGCACGATCACAGCTCATTGCAGCCTTTGGGCTCATTGACCTCCTGGGCTGAAATGGTTCTCCCGCCTCAGCCTTCCAAGTAGCCGGGACCATAGGCATGTGCCACCCACCCAGATAATTAAAATAAATTTTATTCGTAGAGGTGGAGTCCCACTATGTTGCCCAGGCTGGTCTTGAATTCCTGGGCTCAGATAATCCTTCTGCGGTGGCCTCCCAAAATGTTAGGGTTAGAGGCGTGAGCCACAGCACCAGGCTTAGATTCTTTTATTCACAAGAGGTGTAAAGGTGATCTCATTTTATATACATGTCAACTAAAGAAAAATATAAGGCTTTTAAAGACTCAAAGTTAGTTTTATTTGGAGTCTTACTGAGGAATGCAACACTGGGGAGTCGTTCAAAGAGTTTATGTTATACTGCTCCAAAGCAGCGGTTCTGCCCACAGTTTCTATTATCAAGGGATGGAGTTCTACATGTGCTCAAAAGTTACATTAAACATGCTCAGAAGTTACACTGGAGCAAAATCTCATCAAAGTTTTGGTTGGAGAGTACATCTGATTATAGGTTACAGAGGCATAATCTTTAATCCTGTCAGACGTTATCTTACGTACAGAAAGAGGCAAGAGCTAGGATCACTGAACGTGTCTTTTTAGAAAATGAAGTGATTCAAGCAACAGTTGTGGAAACCTGTGCTCTATCCTCTTACTGTCTTCAGGGCATTCTTCTGGAGGACTGTGTTCAGTCACTGAATCAGGGGCTTTGTGAAATTCCGCTGGCAACAGAATGAGCAAACATGGTTTCTTCCGTTTCCTACTTTGTCTCACATACATGATTTCCTATGCTCAAACCTGGCAGGAAAAATTTTTTATTTTTTCAGTGCTTAAGCTATAGTAATCCTTCACTAGGTTTTAAGTCAGTGGGTTTTTTTGACATCAAATTGTTAAACTACAAGTCATGTTTCCTTTAACGTGAAAATTACCTAGTCTGAATAAATTCTGATGTAAATATAACTCGACAAATTATGATATTTTCAACTTACGATGGGTTTATTGAGGGGAGGAGGCAGCCCTATCGTAAGTAGAGGAACTCTATACACTTCTGAAAATACCGCTGGGCTTCAGGGTTAGCCGGCCTCTAACCTACTCTTTACTGGACCTGCCAACTTCGCGCAGGGTTGGTAACCTAGCAACCAAGCAACACCAGCAGTGACTTCCGGTACCCAGACTTGGGTTGTCCAATCAGCTCAGCGGAGCTGCCGCAGAGGCTGATGGGGGACTGACGCCTGTGAGGCTTCCAGCGTCGGTACCATGGCGACGCGCGGTGGGGCTGAGGTGCCAATGGCGGCTTGGTCCCTCTTATCTGCCCGGGCCGTGACCGTGTCCCTCCTGTTGTCCCTCCCTCGCTTCTTACAGGCCCAGACCTTCTCTTTCCCTTTCCAGCAGCCGGAGAAGTGCGACAACAACCAGTACTTTGATATCTCCGCGCTCTCCTGTGTTCCGTGTGGAGCTAACCAGAGGCAGGATGCCCGAGGTAAGACGGTTTGAGGTGGGCCCTGGCAAAAGTAACACTCCCGCCTTGGTCGACCCCTAGTCCCTGGAGATGGAGTTTCATCATGTTGATCAGGCTAGTCTCGAACTTCTGACCTCAGGTGATCCACCCGCCTCCGCCTCCCAAAGTGCTGAGATTACAGGCGTGAGCCACCGCGCCTGGCCCGAATACATATATATTGTTTAGTGACGTAGAAATGTAAAATTTCCAGCAGCAGTTAAGTAGTTTAATAGTTTAGTTATACTTGCGCTTAAAATGGTAGCAACACAATACCAGCTGTGTGTGACAGTCTAAGACCTTTACGTATAATAACTAATTTTATACTCATACTAATACTATGAGGTAGGTACCGATTTTTTTTCTCCTTTTTATTGTAGAGGAAGCCAAGGCAGAGAGTTTAGTAACTTGTTCAAGGTCATGCAACGGAGTAGGAGTACTAAGATTGGAACTCAAGAAGTATGTTTCTGGATTTGAACCCAGGCAGTACTGGCTCCAGAATCCTGCTGTTAATCACTCTACTGCTTCTCAAGATCTTCAGACTTATTAAAAGTTTCACTATCTTGGAACTTTATTTTTATTTATCAAGGATAAAGTTGGCTTCTTTTTTTTTTTTAGGAACTTCATGTGTATGTCTACCAGGATTTCAGATGATCTCTAATAATGGAGGACCTGCTGTTATTTGTAAAAAGTGCCCAGAAAACATGGTATGCATAATTTATTTTAAAATAACTTAACTGTAAAAGTAATAAGTTAAATATCTTTATTTTTCAAACTATAATTTAATGTTTAATGTCTCCCCACAAACTTTAAAATTACTATGCTAACTTTATTTTTACTAGGGTAAGTTTTGGGAAATCAGCGAAATTTTATGCAAACTTGGAGAAAACAGAAATGTATTTCTTTTAAAATCTGAAATCCCAAAAACCACAAAGCTGTAAAAATTTAAGTTTTTGTGTTTACTCATAGAATAACTCGATTATGAAGAAAATTAGATGAATAAGGAATATATAGAGCAGTTTGGGATGTGTGCAATTTGGGATGTGTATATTCTTTGACTGATGCAAATGGAGTTGTCTTAGACCTACCATGTCAACAGTTTATATGATGATTGATGTTCATAATGATATCTGAGGTGTAATTATTTCATGAAATACCAATTGCATTAATAAATAGGTTAAATAATGTCTGTTTCTGTTTTGTTAGTAATTTCATTATATCGTAATTTTTGAAAAATTAGTAGTTACTATATATGATAATTCTCAATTAACAAATATATTTTCAATCATGTTGGATAATTAAAAGTCTGTGTAACAGTCTGACATTTACAGTAATGTTTCTTCTCATTGTCATATAAAAAATATTAATTCTGGGAATTTAATATGAAGTTATCAATTGTCCTGATTTACAGCTATCTGTATTACTTGTAGGTCTGATTACCATTTTTTATATTACCATTTATTTTACATCTTTATAATAGATTATAATAGATTACCATTTATTTTATAACTTTGCAGATGTTGATCCTACCTGAATTACCCATGATAAAATGCTGCTAATAAAAAGTGGTCTCACAGCAGATTTGTTTTTCAGTGACATTTTTTAAGTTATTGTAATCTTTAAATTGTCCTATATAGGCCGGGCATGGTGGCTCATGCCTGTAATCCCCGCAATTTGGGAGGCTGAGGCTGGTGGATCATGAGCTTGGGAGACCAGCCTGGCCAATATGGTGAAACCCTATCTCTACTAAAAATACAAAAATAAGCTGGGCATTGTGGCATGTGCCTATAGTCCCAGCTGCTTGGGAGGCTGAGGCAGGAGAATCACTTGAACCCAGGAGACGGAGGTTACAGTGAGCCAAGATTGCGCCATTGCACTCCAGCCTGGGTGACAAAGTGAGACACTGTCTCAAAAAATAAATAAATAAATAAATAAATAAATAGTCCTATATAAATGTATTGCAAAATAGGAGTATTTCTTGATAAATTCAGTCTTTTCAACCAAAATTTAAAATAATTTGTGGCATTATTTTTGTTCTTTATGAACTTTGGGTACAACTGTGTTTGTAATTATTGTGTTTTTTGCCCCAGGCTTTTCCTAAACCATATAATATAATAAGCCCAAATTGAATGCTGTCATACTTTATCAAAAACCTTTACTAGGCTGAGCGCAGTGGCTCACGCCTGTAATCCCAGCACTTTGAGAGGCCGAGGCAGGCGAATCACGAGGTCAGGAGATCAAGACCATCCTGGCAAACGTGGTGAAACCCCATCTCTACTAAAAATACAAAAATTAGCTGGACATGGTGGCATGTGCCTGTAGTCCCAGCTACTCGGGAGACTGAGGCAGGAGAATCCCTTGAACCCGGGAGGTGGAGCTTGCAGTGAGCCGAGATCGTGCCACTGCACTCCAGCCTGGTGACAGAGCGAAGACTGTCTCAAAAAAAAAAAAAAAAAGTGTACTAGTACAAGCCATAAATGGATAGAAGAAAATATTCTCATAAATCAATTTCAACAACTGTGTATAATTTATATTTCATAAAATTTACCCATTTTGAATCATAAATGAATTTTTTTTTTTTTTTTTTGAGACAGAGTATTACTGTTGCCCAGGCTGGAGAGCAGTGGCGTGATCTCAGCTCACTGCAACCTCCACCTTTCTGGTTCAAGCCATTCTGGTGCCTCAGCTTCCCAAGTAGGATTATAGGCATACACCACCACACCCAGCTAATTTTTGTATTTTTAGTAGAGACGAGGTTTCACCACGTTGGCCAGGCTAGCCTCAAATTTTTGGCCTCAAGTGATCCACCCACCTTGACCTCCCAAAGTGCTGAAATTACAGATGTGAGCCACCGTGCCTGGACTAAATTTTTTATGTATTTGAATTTTTAAAAATTAGAATAATGTTTTAGAACACGTGAGATTAACCTATTAACTGACTATTGATTCAATCTTTTTGTGTTGTGTTGTGTTTTGTATTTGTAAACAGAAAAACTAAATGACAAATAATTATGAAAGTAGGCATCTATTTGAATTAAAGATCCTGAAGAAGAGAGAACTATTATCCACAGTTAATCCTTTAATAGTTGTCAGGACATAGTAATAATACAGAGCTTAATTTTGGAATATAAGCATGAATTATCTCTCCAGGGAATTTTTATGTGGCTCATATATGTATGATTTATTTGAATTTTCACTGCAGTTACATACTCTTATGGCATTTTGAACTTACATGATTATGAAGAAGAAAGTTAATTAAAAAAGAGAAAAGCTTTTTTTTTTCTTTTAATTTAGAAAGGTGTTACAGAAGATGGCTGGAACTGCATTTCTTGCCCTAGTGGCTTAACTGCCGAAGGAAAATGTCACTGTCCTGCTGGCCATATTTTAGGTAAGAATTAGATTCCTTACAAAGAAGTAGTGATAAATCTTCATTTGTGTTTTTGTTTTTGTTTTTTGTTTTTTGAAAAGGGCATTAATTTAAATAGTTAAACAATTACTTAATATTTTTGTAGTGGTTCAAGCAATCCTCCTGCCTCAGCTTCCTGAGTAGCTAGGACTGCACACATACACCACTGCAGCTGGCTAATTTTTAAATTTTTTGTAGAGACTGGGTCTTGTTATGTTGCCCAGCCTGGTCTTGAACTCCTGGCCTCGAGAGATCTTCCTGCCTCAGCCTCCTAAAGTGCTGGGATTATAGGCATCAGTCACTGTGTCCAGCCCTTAATAGTGTTTATAAAAATTATTTTTGTACAAATTTAGTGATACTTAAGACATCAGCAGGCATTGAGAAGAAAATACAGAGTTTTGTCTGAGGTTTTTGAAACTCTTAATTGTGTAGGATTAGATGGTTACTTCTTTAACATAACATGATAAAATATGTATGTCTCAACTCAAAAACCAAGTTGATGCTTAATAGGGAAAAAGTGTAAGCGTTCCTATTAATGTCAGGACCTGGAAAAGGATGCAAACTATGCACTTAAGTAAGAGAAAAAAATATTTATCACTGGAAAAGAAAAGGTAGGCCGTTAATCCCAACATTTTGGAAGGCCAAGGCAGATGTATTGTTTGAGCTTAAGAGTTCGAGACCAGTCTGGGCAACACAGTGAAACCCCATCTCTACAAATAAAAAAGAAATTATTCAGGTATGGTGGCATGCACCTGTAGTCCCAGCTACTCGAGAGGCAAAGGTGGGAAGATCGCTTGAGCCTGGAAGGTTAAGGCAACAGTGAGCTGAGATGGTGCCACTGCACTCCAGCCTGAGCGACAGGGTAAGACCCTGTCTCAAACAAACAAGCAAAAAAAGTAAAATATCATTGTTTACAGATGATTTGATTGTATGTTTAAAACACCCAAGAGAATGACTAAAAATTACTATAAACAGTGATGAAAGAAAATACCTCATATACAATAGCAACAAAAAAGAAAAAATAAGTAGGTATATCCTTTTTTTTAAATTTTAATTTTTGGATTTTTTTTTGAAACAAGAGTTTTCACTGTTGTTGCCCAAGCTAGAGTGCAATGGTGCAATCTCAGCTCACTGCAGCCTCCCTCCGGGTTCAAGCGATTCTCCTGCCTCAGCCTCCCGAGTAGCTGGGATTACAGGCATGTGCCACCACACCTGGCTACTTCTGTATTTTTAGTAGATAACGGGGTTTCTCCATGTTGGTCAGGCTGGTCTTGATCTCCCGACCTCAGGTGATCTGCCCGCCTCAGCCTCCCAAAGTGCTGGGATTACAGGCTTGAGCCACTGCGCCCGACCTTGGCATATACTTTAGAAGGAATGTACAACATAATTAATTGAAGAAATTTGTGAGTATTACTGAGGGATATGAAGGCAGGCTTTTATAAGTGAAAATGCATTCTCTATTTTTGCATGGGAAGATTAAATATTAGAAAGATGCCAACTCTCCTACCAGACTGTATATTTTAAAGGACCCTCGGAAATTCTATCAGGTTATTATTTGTTTGTTTTGGGGTAATATACAAATAGATTCTGAAATTTATCAGGAAAGATATATGAGATCTAAGAAAATTCTGGGAAGGGAAAGAAGGAACTACCCCATCAGATAATATGCATGTTATATAGCTACTATAATCACATGTATGACAGGCTTATGGGTACACAGACTGATTGATGGAACTTAGGCAATCAGAATAGATTCAATTCATACGGGAATTTGGTATGTGAAAAAAGTGGCATTTCATCCAAGTGGGGATAAAACTGATAAATGGTGCTGGGAAAACTGAGAAAACACCAAGTTGGGTTTCTACCTTATTTCTGAGAAAATTAAACTCCAAATGAGTCAAATACTAAATATGAATATATGAAAGTTCTTAAAGAAAATGTAGGAAAAACTTGTATAGTTTTGTTGTAATAGGCCTAAGTATGACCAAAAATAATCACTTTGGAGGCCTAGATGGGAGGATTACTTGAGCCAAGGAGTTCCTGACCAGCCTGGGCAACATAGAGAGACTCTGTCTCTACAAAAAAAAAAAAAAAAAAGACAAAAAGAAGAAAGAAAAACCACAGAAGGAAAAATTGGTGAATTTATAAAATGCCATAAAAATTATAATACCAAAAACCAAACTACAAACTAAAGAAAAATATTAATGCATACAATAGACAGAGGTCAAAGTTCTTCAATAAATGTAAAGGTCCTACAGATAAATAAAAGTAAGATGAATAGCCCAATTTTTAAAATAGCCAAAAATCATAAATAAAGTTCACATAGAAAAAAACATGAGAAAAAATGTTGAACCTTACTCAGAGTAAGAAAATGTACATTAAAGCTAAAATGAGATTTTATTTTTAACCTACCAGATTTTATTATAAAACTTTTTCGAACAGGCACAGTGGCTCACACCTGTAATCCAGCACTTTGGGAGGCCGAAGTGGGCAGATCACCTGAGTTCAGGAGTTCAAGACCAGCCTGACTAACGTAGTCACTACTAAAAATTCAGAATTAGCCGGGCATGGTAGCACATGCCTGTAATCCCAGTTTCTTGGAGGCTGAGGCAGGAGAATTGCTTGAACACAGGAGGTGGAGGTTGCAGTGAGCCAAGATCATGCCATTGCACTCCAGCCTGGGCAACAAGAGTGAAACTCCATATGAAAACAACAAAAAGAAACTTTTTCAACTTTGACAATGTATTTATAAGGATACAGGGAAATAGTTATTCATGTATTAATAGGGAAAATTATAAGTTGGTGCAACCTCTGTGGAGAGCAAATTTACAGTGTTTATCAAAATTAAAAATACAGATTATCTTTCCCTAGAAAGCTCTCATCTAGAAATTTCTCATTCAGATACACTTAACTATATGCCTGAAGAAGTGTTGAATGTTTTTTTCTTGCAACATTATTCCTGAGACAAAAGATTGTAAACAATATAAGAGTCTATCAAGATGAGATCAGCCAAATAAATTATGATATAGTCATACAATGGTATAGAATACAATTGTGGAAAAATAAAGAGGCAGTTCTACACATATTACTATGGAAAGAAATCTAAGATATATTGAGTAAAAAAGCAAGATGTAGAATAATTTATTCATTCATCTACAAGTATTTATTGAGTACCTGTTATTTATCAGCACTATTTTATGTATTTGGTATTCCACTATTTAGCTTTTTAAAGACCATTATGTATGCATATGTGCTTGTATATACACAGGCTATTTCTGAAAGGATTCATAAGAAACTGGTAACAATGCTGCCTCCTGAGTGAAGAACTGAGTGCCTGGGAATGGCGGGAAAGAGACTTAATTTTCATTTTAAATCCTTTTGTGCTTGGTGTGGTGGCTCACGCCTGTAATTACAGCACTTTGGGAGGCCAAGGCAGGTGGATCACCTGAGGTTAGAAGTTCGAGACCATCCTGGCCAACATGGTGAAACCCCATCTCTATTAAAAATACAAAAATTAGCCGGGCATGGTGGCAGGTGCCTGTAGTCCCAGCTACTTGGGAGGCTGAGGCAGGAGAATCACTTAAATCTGGGAGGCGGAGGTTACAGTGAGTGAGATCATGCCACTGCGCTCCAGCCTGGGTGACAAGAGCAAAACTGTCTCAAAAAATAAAATAAAATAAATCCTTTTGTGCCTTTTATTTTTATATTTTATATATTACCCAAAGATTAATTTTTAAATTATCTCAATTTTTTTTTTGTTTCAACAAATTTTTTTGTAGTGATGGGGGTCTTACTATATATCTCAGGCTGGTCTCGAACTCCTGACCTCAAGCAGTCCTCCTGCCTTGACCTCTCCATATGTTGGGATTAGAGTTGCCTGGTCTTATTTTTTTTAGAGACGAGATCTTGTTATGTTACCCAGGCTGGATTCAAACTCCTGGGCTTAAGCAATCTACCGCACCCGGCTTCTTAGTAGTTTCGTTGGCACTTTTGCCTCCATTGAAAATATTAACTTGATTCTCACGGTATTTGGGGGGTGTATTCTTAGGGATGGGGCTAATGAAAGTTTTATGAGTTGGATGGCAATATGAAATTTGTTACACTTCATGATGTACTATTTCTACTGTAAATTTTAGGATTATGGGAAGATGAAGGTAAGTCAGATTTAATCATAAATTTGGAATAAAAACTGTTAAGGTCAAATATGCTGGCGTTTGTTTAAAGTAGTGCAGTTCAGTAGAAATACAATGCAAACCAAATATGTAATTTTTAATTTTCTTGTCTACACATTAAAAAAAGTAAAAAGAAACATGAAATGAATTTTAATAATATACTTTATTTAGCCTAATATTATTTAAAATATCCTTTGAACAGGTAATCAAGCTGAACAATTTTTGAGATAGCTTCATTCTTTTGTTCTTTTTTTTTTTTTTTGAGACAGAGTTTCACTCTTGTCGCTCAGGCTGGAGTGCAATGGCACAATCTCGGCTCACTGCAACCTCTGCCTCCCAGGTTCAAGTGATTCTTCTGCCTCAGCCTCCTGAGTAGCTGTGACTACAGGCAACTGCCACTGCCCCCAGCTAATTTTTGTATTTTTTAGTAGAGATGGGGTTGTACCATGTTGACCAGGCTGGTCTCAAACTTCTGACCTCAGGTGATCCGCCCGCCTTGGCCTCCCAAATTGCTGGAATTACAGGCATGAGCCACCATGCTCAGCCCGTTCTTTTGTTCTTAATAAATTTTTGAGATTTCAATTCTGGCTAGGCACATTTCAAGTGGTCAGTAATCACAAGTGGCTAGTAACCACAGTCAACAGTAACTGTATTGGACAGCACAAGTTAATATCAAGAGAAAATACGTACTGGTACACTTGATATCAGCCATGTGTGTAAGCCAGTTAATTACTGGAAGAATAAAAACTAGTTTGAAATCTTATATAGTTAACCACTCAAGTTATGTTTCTATTACTGTAGCTATGTTATTGTAATTCTTATAATTCTTCATTCCCTAAATTAGATGCTCTTGAGATATCTGTGGATGAGAAGTAGGGGAAAGGAACGTTCTTTGCTGCTTTCTCTAAACAGTGGCTCTGACATCTTCTGGCCCCTTTGGGTTAGGTTACAGCTGTGGAAACAGTATTTTGCTATTTTAGAGGGTACTATTTCGTGATTAAAATTCTCTATGGTGCAAGAGAAGGGAGAGAGAATAGGGTATTATTTTACATACATTATCATGGTAGTCCTCTCTGGAAAGGTGAAATCTAAGAAAGACTTGAAGGAAGGGAGGGACAGAGAGCCATGAGGATGACTGGGGAACATCATTCTAAGCAGAAGGAATAGCAAGTACTAAGATTCTAAGATGGGAGTATATTTGGCATTTTTCAGAGAACAGAAAGTACACTAATGTGGCTAAAGCAAAGAAGTAAAGTAAAGTGGAAGCATCTGGGTCTGAAAAATTGGGGTGATAGTGTGCAGATCATGTAAGACCTTTATGCTGTGTTAGTGACCTTTGAAATTGTCCTATGTGAGATGGGAGGCCATTTGGAAGGTTTTAAGCAAAAGAGTGACATGATCACACTGAAGTTTTAAAAGCTTCACTTTAGCTTCTGCATGGAGCACAAAACCAGCACTCCAGTTAAGATGCTGTTACAAAAGCCCAGGTGATAGATGATGGTGCTTGGGCCAGAGTTTTTTCTTTTTTCTTTCTTTTTTTTTTATTTTTATTTTTTATTTTTGGACAGGCTCTTGCTCTGTCACCCAAGCTGGAGGGCCGTGGCATGATCACAGCTCACTGCAGCCTCGACCTCCTGGGCTCAAGTGATCCTCCTGCCCCAGCCTCCTGAGTAGCTGGGACTACAGGCATGTGCCACCACACCCGGCCGTGTGTGTGTGTGTGTGTGTGTGTATGTATAGAGATGAGGTTTTGCTATGTTGTCCAGGCTGGTCTTGAATGCCTGGCCTCAAGCAATCATCCTGCCTTGGCCTCCTAAAATACTGGGATTACGGGATGAGCCACTGTACCCGGCAGGCCACGATGAGCCACTGTACCCGGCAGGCCACGATATTAGTTGTAGAGGTAGAGAAAATAATTCTGTGTCTGAATATATTTTGAAGAGAGAGCTGACAGAATTTGCACATTAATTTTTTTATTTTTATTTTTTTAATATGGAACATGAGGAGACTCTTAAGGACTGCGACTACAGTAAATGGTCAAATGGAGCTGTCATTTATTGAGACGGGGTGACTGTAGGAGGAACAAGTTGCTCATCTTTACTTTTGTTAAAATTACTTTTTACTACCATGCAAAAACTTAAAACATTATGGATAAGACTAAAGTCCTTTTTGACCATTTTTCCCAATACTGTTTTTCTATTGCTCCTTCAACCCCAAAGTAACTGGTTATTTTTGTGTGTGTGTGTGTGTGTGTACATGTGTGTGTGCACGTGTGTGTGTGCACATTCAGAATTTTTTCCCTGTTATAAGGATCTACATTATATAGCCACAGGAAACATAAGTGGTATGTTTGCATAAATGTTTCATACACAAATATTGTTCTAGCATACTTTTTTCAGTTAATGGTATACTCTGATACTCTGTTAGATTTAGCTGATTCTTTTTTTTTTTTTTTTGAAACGGGGTCTCACTCTTGCCCAGGCTGGAGTGTAGTGGTGTGATCTCAGCTCACTGCAACCTCCACCTACCAGGTTCAAGCAATTCTCATGCCTCAGCCACCTGAGTAGCTGGGATTACAGGCACAAGCCACCACGCCCAGCTAATTTTTGTATTTTTTTAGTAGAGAGAAGGTTTTGCCATGTTGGCCAGGCTGGTCTTGAACTCCTGGCCTCATGTGATCCACCCATCTTAGCCTCCCAAAGGGCTGGGATTGCAGGCATGATCCTCCTCACCTGGCCTTACCTGATTCTTTTTCATCTGTTCCATAGTATTTTGTAGCATGGATATACCACCATTCTGCTATTTTAAATATTCATGTTGTTTCTAACAAATAATGCTTCAATGAATATACTTATGTACATGTTCAAGTGTTTCTGCAGGTTAGGTATCTAAAAACAAAATTGTAGTGTTGTAAGGATGTGAATTTGAAACTTTAATAGATACTACTAAAAGCCTTCTAAGTTGCAGAAACTTATCAGTAATCTACGAAAATACTTGCTTCACTATCCCAGTGTGACAGAAATGTATAGATAAGAGGTAAGACAATTTTGAGGAAAAAAGTACTGACTTAATTGTTATGATGACTTGGAAAATGATTTTCTGTATTTTACTATGTGAAAATAGGGAAGGCATCACTTCTCTTTTTTTTTTTGGAGGCATGCATGGGTATGAAGGGATCACTTCTCTATACTTTATTATGGAGATACTTGTTATGCCTTTAATGCAAATAAAGTGTTTTGAAAATTAATAGAATAATAGTTACACTTCGGTTTTGTTAAATATTTTCTGAATATGTAGAAGCTTATATGTTTACTATGAGTTACATCTTTTTTTTGTTTCTAAACTGTTTAGTGGAAAGAGATATTAATGGAACATTGTTGTCTCAAGCAACTTGTGAGCTCTGTGATGGAAATGAAAACTCTTTTATGGTAGCAAATGCTTTAGGAGACAGGTAAGCAGTGTGATGGGGCTGACTTCTTTAATATCATCTTATACTAATGTATAATTTGTACTTTTAAGAATGTTTTCCTATCATATCACTTAGTTCACTTAGTTTTCACAATAACCCAAGGAAGGATAGAAGTAGACATTAACAGATACAGAAGCTGATGCCTAGAGCATGAGACACACTAGGGTTCAAATTTTGGTCCAGTCTATTAGTTGTCTGACCTTGGATAGCTCACTACTTCACAATCCCTTGTCTTTGGAATAGTACTATTGCCACCCACTTCATAGGCTGTAATGGCTCAGAAATAAGTAAGTACAGTTCTTAGTATAGTGCTACATAGTAACCACTCTGTAAAGGGTAGCTATTTTTGTTTGTTGTTATGTAATTAGTATATAATCTATAATATAATTATGTGCTAAGTACTGTACTAAAGCCCTTATAATACATTAAACATTAATGTATACTAATAATAGCTCAGGTACCCTGATTTATAGTCCCATTTTCTGTTGCTTCCTGTTCCCCCTTTGTGCATGTGTTTGTGAAACACACACACACACACACACACACACACCCCTGCCTGCCTATATACTTCCCTCTAATTTAAGCATGTATACCAATTTCAGCTTCTTTAATTTTTTTAGAGGCCTACATCATGACTTCCCTCCAGGCACAGTTTTTTCTTTAGTTTCCAAGTTTAATATAGAAAATAGCTGAGCAGCTTTTCTGAGGGCTACTTAGTGTTGGATCATCTTTTCTCTGAGGCTGACCTGAGTTATGGCATCCAAATATCGATTTTTTTTTGCCCCTCTAATATTTCCCCAAGCCTGGTCTGTTTTACGTCATGCTCCAGCCCCACTCCTACCTGCTCTATTTTGCAAGTGAAGAATACCTATATATTCACTCATCACTGGTCCAGTACCCTCCCCCATCTATCTCATTCATTAATGAAAAATATGAAGTATTTTTCTAAAATAAACAAAGATGATAAATAGAATTTATTTAAAAGTGTTGGCTGTAGCTTTGATAGGAGCTAGAGATACATTTCTCTTCAGCTTATGCTACCTTTTTACTTTGTGGCACATAAAATAAGGAAAGTATATTTGATATAACTAATTGTAAAAATTGATTTGGTTTCATTTATATGAGTTTGTTGGTCTCTTTTGTTAGTTGAGTGACTTAATTATCTTTGATATTCAGAATTATTCATTCTGTACATTCCATGTAGTTAAAAAATACTCTTCTATTGATTAGTTTTACTTACTTTATACTTTGTAACACAGAATGGCCTAAAACTATTCAAATCCGTGTTATTTTAAATTTGTTTAACATATTTACATAATTGCTTGCTGAATGAATCTACTTTAATCCATTGTTTAGAAAGACAGCTTTTCTATTAAATTAGGTTTAGTATAATTTATTAACATTTTAAAAATTATTTTTGTTATATTGAACAGGTGCATCCGATGTGAGCCAACATTTGTTAATACCAGCAAGTCCTGTGCATGTTCAGAACCTAACATTTTAGTAAGGCTAACCAAATTGATAAAGTATATATATTTTTAATTCAATTGCTTATGCCTTTTCATAAGCTTCTATTTTTTCCCTCATTTATTTATGAAGACAGGGGGATTATGTTTCAGCAACACAGGGAATTTTCCTCTACGTAGAATTTCAACTGCACGTTATGGAGAAGTTGTGAGTATGCTTCAATTTTTTTGTTCTGTTGTTAAGAAATTTTCTACATTTCATCCATTAGTAATTAACTTCAGGCTAGAATGAGAAACACTTTTGTATAAATCATTTTAAAACAGAAAAAAAAAATCAATCTAAGAAACATTAGTCTAATAATTCAGCATTATAATTTCTAAGTACAGTACTGAGTCTGTACCATAGCCTGTTTGTTTTTCAGTGTGCTACAGAATGTTTACACCAGAAATATCTGGTATATGTTCTGTGTAGGATGCAGTATAATGCATTTACGGGCACCAGAAACTCTAGATTTGAACCCTGGATTTGCAAGTCATTAGTTTTGTATCCTTGGACCTTGAGAAGATTTCAAAGCTTCAGTTGATTGTCTGTAAATTGGACATAATAAAAATACCTTTATCACAGTGTCTGTACATAGTAATCATTAGAGAAATCAGGATTATTCTCATTTGGCCAGATTGTTCCTTATTATTTTATTTTATTTTTGTTTGAGATGGAGTCTTGCTCTGTTGCCCAGGCTGGAGTGCTGTGGCGCAGTCTCGGCTCACTGCAACCTCCGCCTCCCGGGTTCAAGCGATTCTCCTGCCTCAGCCTCCCAGGTAGCTGGGATTATAGGCACCTGCCACCACGCCTGGCTAATTTTTTGTATTTTCAGTAGAGACAGGATTTCACCATGTTGGCCAGGCTGGTCTCGAACTCCTGACCTCGTGATCCACCCACCTCAGCCTCACAAAGTACTGGGATTACATGCATGAGCCACCACACCCAGCCAATTGTTTCTTATTTTATGGATGAGAGCATTGAGGCCTAGAGTTAGAGCTTTGGCAGCAGGTGCTGGTGATAACCACTTCTAGGGTATAAAATGGAAAGTAAGTAGAGGAATTGGAACTACAGAAGTTGCAAATCAGAGAGAACAGGAGTTAGATGACTGAGAGTTAGAATAGGAATTAATGAATGAACATTGAAGATGCTTAGTACGCCAGAGTTAAGGGTGGACAAGGTGTGATCTGGTTGTTAATATCATTATTGTTAATATTATTATTGAATATAGGAGTGATTAAGAGGACTGTGAGGATAGCAATAATGAGGGTGGGATCTAGGATCTTGATGAATCCGGCAAAAATTCCTCTCCTCCAGTATAGTTTTGTGAGGAAGACAGGCAAGTACCAAGTAGTTACAAGACAGCAAAATAAAAGCTAAAATACATAGGGAGCTCTGAGATTATCCAAAAATTGGCTGATCTGTAACAAGATATGTGTCTTCTGGGGCATTCTTCTCCAGATTGGAGTGCATATCTGTATATGATTATTAAATTTGCAGGCCTTTAATTTTCCTTTTTTCCTTTTTCAAAAAATTTAAGTTGAAATAATTTTGCTGGAAGTCCCAGCAATGACTCTTTGTTCTTTCTGGTCTGAGATCCCCAATCATTTAGTGGTCATGTCCCTTTAGCTTCCTCCAATCTGAAACTAGGTCCTCAGTGTTTTCCTGTCTTTCATGAATGCAACAGTTTTGAAGATTACAGACCTTACCATCCTGTAGATACTTTCCTCATACTGAGTACCTGCTTAGATGAAAGCCACAAAAAAGATGTCATGTTCTTCTCAGTGGACTGCATCACATCCAGGGGCACACAGTATCTACCTATGCCACCACTGATGCTGTTAACCTTGATCACCTGCCCTAAAGTCACCATGACTACCATAAAGTTACCGTTTACCATTTGTAGTTGATTAGTATTTTGTGGGGCATATTTCTGAGATTACACTTCCTCACTAACCTTTAACTCACTAGCATTAGTCTCCATTGTTGACCACTACTGTGATGGTTGCCAAAGGTTAATTTTTTATTTCTATCCACATTTGATTACTTCCACATTTGTTAATTGACATTCTATTATAAGGAAGAACTATCTCTTCTTCCCAATTTATATACTTATTTTTTAAAATTAATGTCCACGTGGATATGTGGGTTCCTAATTTATTCAGTTTACTTATAACCCAGCCTTTTTTTTAGATGGGCGATTCTGGGTCTGTCCGCCCAGGGCTGATGCCAGTGGCGGGATCTCAGCTTCACTGCATAAGCGCCCGCCGTCCCGGGTTTTACGCCATTCTTCTGCCTCAGTCTCCCAAGTTAAGCTGGATACAGGGCGGCCCGCCACCCTCGCCCGGCTAGTTTTTGTATTTTTTAGTAGAGGACGGGGTTTCACCTGTTAGGCCAGGATGGTCTCGATCCTCCTGACCTCTGTGATCCCCCATCTCGGCCTTCCCAAAGTGCTGGGATTACAGGGCTTGAGCCACCGCGCCCGGGCCTCTTATCATATTTTGTTTAGGGTTCAAATTGTCTATATCTGGAAAAAAGTCCCTTCAAGTTGGCTCCTGCGTGTTTTTTTTTTTCTTGACGTGTTTCCCATCATTCTTGAACATTGCTTACTTTATGATACAAGATTTCTAGGCTAAGCTTGTACTTTTCCTGGCCTCAGACCTGGAAGTCAACCATTTCTTCTTTCTCTTCTTTTTTTGTTTTTGAGATGGAGGTTTCACTCTTGTTGCCCAGCTGAGGTTAAGGCACAATTTTCAGGCTCGCCGGGCAACCATCCACCTCCCGGGTTCAAGTGGTTCTCCTGCCTCCGCCTCCCGAGTAGCTGGGATTATAGGCATGCGTCACCACACCCAGCTAATTTTTGTATTTTTACTAGAGACAGAGTTTCTTCATGTTTGTCAGGCTGGTCTCGAACTCCCGACCTCAGGTGATGCCCACCTCGGCCTCCCAAAGTGCTGGAATTACAGGCATGAGCCACCGCACCTGGCCGGAATCAGCCATTTCCTTAATCAGTTTCGTAGGATAAATATTTAGAAACCGAGATTAACACACTTAGTATGTCCTCTCACCAAACATAGCTAGGAAATATACACATATATACATACACACATCTATGACTATTTCTGTGTCTGTGTATATATATACTAAAAGGGCTGGGCGTGGTGGCCTGTAATCCCAGCACTTTGGGAGGCCGAGGCAGGTGGATCACTTGAGGTCAGGAGTTTGAGACCAGCCTGGCCAACATGGTAAAACCTCGTCTCTACTAAAAATACAAAAATTGGCTGGATATGGTGGTGTGCTCCTGTAATCCCAGCTACTCAAGAGGCTGAGACGGGAGAATCACTTGAACCTGGGAGGTGGAGATTGCAGTGAGCCAAGATCGCGCCACTGCCTTCCAGCCTGGGTGACAGAGCAAGACTCCGTCTCAAATAAAATAAAATAAAATAAAATAAGATAAGATAAGATAAGATAAAATACTCAGACTGATCCCTTTAATTCTGAAGCAATACTTCAGGGTTCTTTCTCACCTTTCCGTTTGATAGGTTTGAAGTATCTTCTCCAGGAGTGAGAAATCTGGGGTTCATTATCCTCAATTTATTTATATGCTCAATGTGACCAATCTTCCAACCCCCTCACTTTCTGTTCCACCCCCACATTCTCCCTCCTCTGCTAGCACCGTGCAGTTGACCCATTATAGACTTCTTTGATAGGTGGGTAGGGAGGAACTGTTCCATCCTTAATGTTGTTCTGATTCAGTTAATGTATTTCATTTAAACATACCAGATTTTTTTAAAGTTAAAAATAATTTAAAACTAAATTAAAAAAAAAAAAACCATCTCAACCCTCCCCAAAACTTTCCAGGTCCCACATGCAGACACTGCAGTGGCGACTGGAGGATTGGGCACTGGAAACAGGAAGGACACCACTGCTCGGCCTGGGGCACCTGAGGGACAACCTGGAGCACTCCAGGAGCACAGCAAAGGTCTAGCAGAGCCAACACTGGTGCAAGCAGGGAAGAGCAGCCTGATGGGCTTGTGGGGTAGCTCTCGCCACCGTGAAGAAAGGCTGCCTGGAAGGCAATGGCCGTAAGAGGCCAGCAAGGGGTGCCTGCTGTCTTAGAGGACCCCCCAGTCCTGCCAAGATGCCATGAGGCAGAGGGTGGAGGAAACGAGGTCAGCCGGATTCCACATCCCTGCATCCCACATACTGCCCAAGGGCAGGGAGGAGAGGCGAGGGGCCCATAGAAGGAATGAGAAGAGTGGTTCCATTTGCCATGAATGTCTGTCTCTCATCTGTTGAGGCTCAGACCTGGCCAGGGAGAGCATGACATCACCACAGCAATTGTGCACTGAACATACCAGTTCTGAACACTGATTCTTTCCTAAGGACAGATTTGAGATTCCTGATTTTAAGTCATGTTGTAGCTGCTTTTCAGATTGGTGCCATGTAGCCAGAATATAAAACGTGTAAGCAAAATCTAGTTAAGATGTTTTGACTACCCTAGCGTAGTCTCAGTTTGCAAGAATAAGAACTCAATTTTATCCATGTACTTGTAAGTCAGTCAGATTCTAAGGGCTTGTTTAAAGTAATTAAACTCAGACGAGATTAGATTAATTGATAAACCAGAATTCATGTTTATTAGTTTTATGTTAAGACTGTAATTGCCAATTAGACTGAAATATTTGTATTGACTCCATAACATACATTCTTCCTAATTGGAAAAGTCTACTTTGAACATTAAGGTTGGAAGTTTTCTTAGAGAACAAAATTGGAACATAATTCTGTTTGTATAATTTTATAACAAGGCATCCAATCCTACTCATCCTACTCTTGGAATATACTTGCCAATCAGAAAAAATTTTCACATACATGAGTTAGTGTCTCCCCATTCCCTTTCCCTCAAAGACATTAATAGTGAACTATCTTTGTGGTTTTTGGTTTTCCCAACTTTTATTTTGAAAAATTTCAAAATTGCAGAAAAACTGAAAGAATTAAACAATGACTATGCATATGTCTTTCACCTAGGTTAACGAATTATTAATGTTTTGCCACATTTGCTTTATCTCTCTCTATATATAAATATATACACACATAAATATATACACACACACAATGTTTTTTTCCCCTGAGCCATTTGAAAATAAGTTGTAGACATAATGACATTGCACTCCAAATACTTTAGTGTGAATCTCCAAAGAATAAGGCATTTTCCTAGAATCACACCCAAGGAATTTAAAATTAACATAATATTATTAACTGATATTCATTCATACCCAAATTTTCCCAGTTGTTCAAAAGTGTTCTTTATTCTCCCTGCCTTTTTTGGGGGAAGGGATACCTAGGATCCAATCAAGGACTAACTGCAGTTAGTCTTTCTAGTGTCCTTTAATTTAGAACATATCCCTGCTTCACTTTGCTTTTGTGGTTTTCTCCTCTATTTTTCTGATTGTTTTCTCGTGATTAGACTCAGTGAAACATATTTTTGCAAGATATATAGATGTTGTATACCTCCCATTGCATCACAACAAGGGGTATGTAAAGTCTGTCAGGTTGTCCAGTTATTGGTGATACTAAATTTGATTGCTAGGCTGGGCGTTGTGGCTCACTCCTGTAATCCCAGCACTTTGGGAGGCCGAGGCAGGTAGATCACCTGAGGCCAGGAGTTCGAGACCAGCCTGGCCAACATGGTGAAACCCCAGCTCTACTGAAAATACAAAGATTAGCCAGGCATGGCAGCAGGCTCCTGTAACCCCAGCTACTCGTGAGACTGAGGCAGGAGAATTGCTTGAACAGAGGAGGTGGAGGTTGCAGTGAGCCAAGATCGCGCCATTGCACTCCAGCCGAGGCAACAATAGCGAAACTCCGTCTCAAAAAAAAAATTGATTTCTTGTTCATAGTTGTGTCTGTGACTTCTCTCCATTGTAAAGGTATTGTGATTAATACGTTAGTCTGAGACAATGTAAATTATCCATATCCATTTTAGTATTCATTAATGAATCTTGCCTGTATCAGTTATTAAACTGGTCATTTCTAATAACAATCCTATTATTCTCTCTACATTTATTAGCTAGCAATTGTCTGTAGAAGCACTTTACTTTTTCTCTGTGCTTTTTTTCTTTTTAAAAAAAAGCTTTATTATAAACTCATAGAATCTTTACTCATTGTGTTATAATCTGTTACTGTTATTCTTCTTTTCGAAGTTCAAGTTGTACCAAATTTGAACTTCCTTTCAGCATAGCTCCTGTGTTGTTTTGACGTGACTTTAGACTTTAGGGATTTCTTTGGTTTCTCTATACCATGTTCCAGATTCACCTTGTATAATTATATTTTTTAATAGTTCCACAATATTCTGGCTTATACATTAAAATTTGTATAATGGTATCTCCAGAGAATATTTAGGTTTTCAGTTATTAACTATATTGCCATCAACCATTTTATGCACATAAATGTTTTCCCATTTAGAGGGATTATTGCTTTAAGATAAATTTCCTAAGTGTTCCTAAATTTCTGGGTTAGAATATATGGATATTGCTTTATAAAAGTATCACGCAACTTTAGCACTATCAGTGGCATTGTATGTGGCTCCATTTTACATACATTTGTCAGTACTGTTTTGTTGCATTTCATTTTTACCAGTTTGTGTGCATGTGTTCCCCAGCCTTCTATGCATATTTTTTCTTACAAAATAACTTTTGCTTATTAAATATACAAAAATAGTACCTCATAATTTTATTATAGATTTCTCTGATCACTGTGGTGCCATATTCATATAATTTAGTTGTATCACTTATGTGTGTGCCCAGACAATTTTCTCTGAATGGTGCTTCTTAGTTTCTCATATTTTAGCAAGATGTGCAGATAAGCTTTAAAGCAATGTTTTTTAACTAGAGGTTTTTATCTGTAGCCTTCAAAACCCATGTAATTGCTTTGGTCTCATCTGGGGATACTGATTCCTTTTTGTTTGGGATGAAGCCAGGCATGTTTTGTTTTTAGAAAGTTCTGCAGGTGATTGTGATGCCCACCATTGTTTGAGCACCACCACTTTGGAGACGTGAAATTATTTCCCCCCATTTTGTTTTATAGCTTGCCAGTTCAGTACAGTATTTACAATAATTCTAAACCAGTAAATGTTAACCACTCAATACTAAGTCAGGATCTGTTATTTTTTCTTTTGCCACTTTATTTTTTATGTTAGTGAAATAGGCATGTAGTATTTTTGGATTATAGACACATTTTGTCTTGTTATATCTTTTGCCTAAGTGTGATTATTTTGTAATGCGGTCCTATTTATAATAACTGACATTGGTTAAAATCAATTCTTGTATTCCTATTGGTATCTTTTTTCTACTAACATTGTGAAAGTAATGTGAGACATTTCCCATTCAACAATATGCATATTGAGATCATTTGAACTTAAAATTTATCTTTTGGTTTACAGGGCGTGTCTTTAACTTCAGAATGGTTTGCAAAGTATTTGCAATCATCAGCAGCTGCATGTTGGGTAAGTTTGAATTTTTAAAAATAAATTTCATTTTATTTTGAAGAATTATACCATTTATTTACCCAGATAATAAAAGTTTTATTTCTAAGTAGCTATAGCTTCTTGGTCATAATCTTATAAGAAGAATAAACCCTTTCTTATGGGCTGAAAGGGAATATATAAAGAAGATGTTATTTAGTGTACATATATTGAATGTCTCCAAGCTTTTTTAGCTGAAATGGAGTGTTAGGGGAAACTGACGGTCATTTAGTAAATGTTTATTGATGACCTACTGTGTGCCAGGCCCAATTCTTAAATCAGGTTAGATATTTCAGAAAAAGAAAAAAACAAGCCTTCATGGAGTCACAGCCTAAGTAAATGTCAGGTTGTGCTAACTGCTATGAAGGCAAATAGTTAAGAGTAAAGTACATAGAGGGGGTGGGGGATGATATTTTATATAGTGATCAGGACGGACATCTCTGACAAGGTTATAGTTGAGCAAAGAACTGAAAAAAGTGAGAGTGAGCCATGTAAACATCAAGGAGAAGAATGTTCTAAGCAGAAACCATAGCAGGAGCAAAGACCTGAAAGCAGAGTTTACTGGCTTATTCATGCCTAAGAGAGGAGGAGGAGGCTGGAGTGGCTGGAGCAGAGTGAGCAGGGAAACGAGTGGAAATGAGGTCAAGGATGTAGGGAGTGGCTACGGCAAAGCCCTGGAGCTTACTTTAAGGGAAATAGAAGGATTTCATGCAAAGGACGACATGATAGAACTTCAGTTCTTGAAAGGATCATTGTAGCATGGAGAATAGAATTTGTTGGGGTAAGGGACCATTTAGGAGAATATTAGAGTAATCTGAGTGAGAGGCAGTGGACCATTCATTGCACAAGGGTGGTATTACAGAAATGAGAGAAGCGTTTACCTTCATCTTTGCTTTGAAGATTTAGCTGGCCGAATTTACTCATGAGCTGGATAAGGGGCAAGAGAGAAAAAAAGTTTCAAGTTTTTCACATGAATAACTGTAAAAATGGAATTGCCTTTTCCTGATAGGGAAAACTGAGAAAGAAAGTTGAGAGGCAAACTCACAAATGATCTCATTTTGTTATTTATAAAGCAGATTACTTAAACAAAATGGATTAGATTTTATGTGTAAGATCTAATATATAAATTATTGTTCTTTCAACTATAGTCTGAGTTTGTTTTAATGTCATACTATGAGTTTTTCCTTAGTTCTTCTTTCAGTTTCTTGTCTTTATATTTTAGCCTAAAATTTACAATGAAAATGTTTGTGTTATTTCTGTTCCCAAGCGGAAAGTTTATTTTCTACTTAAGCTAGAGGAAAGGTTTTAACAAGCAAGAGAATACAAACAAAAATAAATTATCATTAAAATAGTTTAAAAAAAAATTTTTTTTTTTTTTTTGAGACGGAGTCTCACCCTGTTGCCCAGACTGGAGTGCACAATCTTGACTCACTCCAACCTCTGTCTCCTGGGCTCAAGAGATCCTCCTGCCTTAGCCTCTGGGCAGCTGGGACTACAGGTGCATGCCACCACCATACTCGGCTAATTTTTCTATTTGTAGTAGAGACAGGGTTTCACCACATTGAGCAGGCTGCTCTCAAACTCCTGACCTCAAGTGATCTGCCTGCCTCTACCTCCCAAAGTTCTGAGATTACAGCTGTGGGCCACCATGCCTGCCCTAGAATAGGCAAAATGAAAACAAAGTAATTTTTTTCTTTTTATTTATTTATTTGTTAAATTATACTTTAAGTTCTAGGGTACATGTGCACAACGTGCAGGTTTGTTACATAGGTATACATGTGCCATGTTGGTTTGCTGCATCCATTAACTCATCATTTATAAGAAATAAGAAATTACTTATTTCTCCTAATGCTATCCCTTGCCCAGTCCCCCACCCACAGACAGGCCCCAGTGTGTGATGTTCCCCGCCCTGTGTCCAAGTGTTCTCGCTGTTCAGTTCCTACCTATGAGTGAGAACATGCAGTGTTTAGTTTTCTGTCCTTGTGCCAGTTTGCTGAGAATGATGGTTTCCAGCTTCATCCATGTCCCTGCAAAGGATATGAACTCATCCTTTTTTCTGGCTGCATAGTATTCCATGGTATATATGTGCCACATTTTCTTAATCCAGTCTATCATTGATGGACATTTGGGTTGGTTCCAAGTCTTTGCTATTGTAAATAGTGCCGCAATAAACATACGGGTGCATGTGTCTTTATAGTAGCATGATTTATAGTCCTTTGGGTATATACCCAGTAATGGGATGGCTGGGTCAAATTGTATTTCTAGTTCTAGATCCTTGAGGATTCGCCATACTGTGTTCCAAAATGGTTGAACTAGTTTACAATCCCACCAACAGTGTAAAAGTGTTCCTATTTCTCCACATCCTCTCCAGCA